AACAGACCACCTGACCAGATGCCCCCTGCTGCATTCATTATGCAACTGGCTGAATGGACTTTGTTTTTTTTTTGTTTCAGAACCAGTTCTATAGACAGAGGAGAGGTACAGCAATGGGAGCATGTTTTGCTCCTAATTATGCTAATTTGTTCATGGGTTTCTGGGAAGAAAAGTTTGTATTTTCCAGCCAGAATATCTTCCTTGACAAAATTATTTGGTGGGGTATATATTGATGACATCCTTTTACTGTGGTCTGGTTCAGAGACAGAGCTTTTACATTTTCTTTCATATCTAAATAAAACAAACAGCAATTTAAAGCTTTTCACTAAAAGAAATCCACTTCCTTGATATGAAGATTTTTAAAGATGAATTGGGTGATTTAAACACAACCATCTTTAGAAAACCTACTGACTGTAACACCATTTTGAGGGCAGATAGTTTCCACCCACCTTGGCTGACTGACAACATACCATTTGGTCAATTTCAGAGACTCAAGCAAATCTGCAGTTCAGAAGAAGATTTCGAAAAGAATGCCCAGGATATGAGTCTAAGATTTGAGAAGTGTACGACAAAGCAAGATGCTTTTCAAGAGGACAGCTACTAATTCAAAAGAAAAGCAAACATGTTAAAAATTAGGTATATTTTGTGACACAGTACAGCTGTAAATTAAACAGAATCAAAAAGATAATTAAAAGAAACTGGGACATATTAAAAAGTGACCCCTCTCTCAGAGAAGCTCTTCCGGAGGCGCCCTTCCATCAGCTTCAGAAGAGCTCCAATATTGAGTGACAGACTAGTACATAGTTATCTGCCACCAGTTACTCAGAAAACCTGGCTAGACTCCAGAACAGGTAATCACAAATGCGGAAACTGCAATCACTGTGTGAGCGTGTTGAACACCAGCTCGTTTTTAGATCCAACATCAGGCAAAACTTTGACATCAAATATTTTATCAATTGCAACATGCTGTGTACTGCCTTGAATATCCTTGTGGCTGTTTTTTTTTGGAAGGTAAAGGTGAGACTATCTGAACACAAACTAGCTATAAAAACTGGCAACCCACTATATCCCATGGCCCTGCACTACAAAGAAGCTCAGCATGGCAGCAGCTATTCTTTAGAAATCATAGTCATTGAACATATTGCCAGATCAATCAGGGGAGGGGGCAGGTTAAAAAAAACTCTTACAAAGAGAATCCTTCTGGATTCATACTTTGAGAGCGACACAATATCCAGGTCTAAATGGAGAATTAGTTTTCACTCCTTTTCTCTGAATGTCTTGTTTTTAGGATTATTGCTTGTACTGTTAATCAGATGTGTTTTTTTGACTGTATTGTGTTTATATTTCTACTTATGTGGTTTCCTTTGTATAGAGGTAGGCCCAATTCCAATCCGATCCCTTACAGACTCACTGACTTAGAGGCGCGTTCATGTGAAGTGCGTGAGTGTGTGAGGGCTGTCCCATTGTCAAATCGTCAATTCATTGAGTCAGTGAGTGAGCCCTTTATGCCCCCTTACCGTAGGTCAGCATCGATGCGAACTTACGGTAAGGAAATTACCCACAGTTCATAGCGTTGTGACGTCAAATACAGGGGTTGCCCTCGGAACACCGGAAGTGTTATAAAAAAAACCCCCGAAAACACAGTTGACAGATATGCAAACATTAACGTTATGGAAGGAGTGAAAAAAACAGATAAACAATGAAACATTACATTAACAAGGATTTAAGATGGTACATAAACACACATGAAGTCAGAGGAATACCAGTGGTTATATTCCACACACAAAGAATATATATCAATATATCTATCTATATACATATATATCTATATCTATATATATATATATATATATATAGATATCTATATAGATATAGATAGATATATATTGTGTGTGTGGAATATATGCTGACAATAACTGATAAATGATCACGCCCAGAGCCGCCAGTGTTAACAACATTTTGTAGAGAGGGGGATAAGTTCTGTCCCATTCCTATTTGTAGCATCCGGAGCCCTTTCAGACTCTCACACTCAATCACTTACAGCTGATGTCAGTTAAGTCAGTGAGGGTTTAGGGCTTGAGTCTTTAGGGGCCGGATTGGAATTGGGCCGTAGTTACTTCTGTTCACCCTTTGACCTTTGTGGTCATGTGACAGAACCTATAAAGGAAGTAGCTTGACAGCCATTTTGCAACTGCCCTGATGAAGGCCTGTATGGTTGAAATGCGTAGGGGTTTTTAAATGACTTTGAGATTCCTATACTGAAGAGCACCAGAGGTTGACCATTTTCACACTTTTTGAAGACCCCTGCAGCACTGAGCACTCCATGCATTTATTTTTTTCTGAAGTCAAAAACCTTGTTGCATCATTCTTACCTGTAATTTAGTAATAGCAGGTTAGCATAAAAACATTTTTTATTCAGTTTAAACATGTTTGTGAATAGAAAAGCTCTAACTTCACCTCTGTTCCCAAGATAAAAAACACAGATGTTTCATGGTAGATGAGTCTTTCAGATGACTGTTAAAACATGAGCGCTATGACATAATGGGCTCTAGTTTCGCCAACTGGGTGTGGCCAGGCAGATTTTTTTAAGTTTGGCACACCGTGCCCCTGGCGCAGCTACTCCTATATCCCACCTCCGTCCCTCCTACCGGCGCAAGTCGGAAAGATGGAGGAGAGAAGGCGTGGAGTGGGTTTTACACACATCACACCAATCAAATGAGCCCCTCTCCTCGCCCTTAAATGCGCCGCGCGAAGACGTAATGAGAGTTTACTCAATTCGCCATGGCAGAAGAGAGCAGCAGCGTCAGATGGCCAAACTGCTCCCAGGAGGAAACTGATGTTTTGGTCCCGGAGGTCCAAGCTCGCAGTGTCCGAATATCCGGAACTGTGAGCAGACCTCCACGGGCTGATGATGCAAAGGTAGCCTGGGAGGAGGTCACAACAATTGTAAATCAATGTTGCGTTTCTCTCGTGCGCGCGCACTCTCTCTCTCTTTCTCTCTCTCAGTCTCACTCTGTTTCTTTTCTTCTGGCTTTTCTAAGATGACAGATCAAATCAGGTTGGGTTTCCATTACACGTGCCAAACGTGCCAAACGGTGCCAATCCCCTTTGATCTGACATCAGATGTGACGGGACAGTCGATATAGAGATACATTTATGTGCTGATTGCAGATAGTTTCATTGAATAGTGGTTTTTGTGGGTATTTACTGCATTGTTAATGTGCCTGACATTCTGGAAACCTGCCTGTGAGGTTTTGGTGACGTGTGCGCACTGTCCGCTGGTCAGCCAAACTTCGGCTTACACCGGCTGCGTGGCACGAAACTGTCACTGCGCCAAGCTGGATCTGTTGACACCACCCCCTGCTGCGCCGCCACACCCATCTCGGCGCACCTCGGTCTGCCAAACTACCAAACTGAGCGCGCCTCGGGTTGCGCTGCTCGAAACTAGCGCTGCGCGGGGTTCGCCACCCTGCGCTGCACCTGGAAACTAGAGCCCAATGTATTAAACTAGCTGCTTCAAAAGATTAAAAAAAAAGCCTGACTCTAGAGTAGAATTTATTACATTGGTTGTTGCCTAGGTGAGAAATTTGGAGCTGAGTTTGTACAGTTGGTTCATGTGGTCAAGAACAGAAATAACACATAATCTTCCCAAAGTGGTTCAGGTGTCCTCACATGAAAATATTTCATCATAAATGGGAGTTTAGGGACATGGAAATTTCATTAAGTTGTACAATCAGAGCTCCCTGCACTAGCTCTGAATATTTCCTTAAAAAAATGAAAATAAGTGGGCACATTACTTCAGCTTAAACTGAGGCTTGACTGCTGTGTTGACTGAAAACGGGATGATGTCAATGACTACAAATGGATCTTTCCTTAAAAAAAACATTATTGAAAATTCCGATTTGGTTTTTGAAATGTCAAAATGAACATGTAATTTAGTCTTCCGCCTCATATTGCAGCAGGTTCTGTGAAGCTGGTGAACAACAGTTTGCTTTTTTCATTTGCAAGTATTAAATGGAGGAATTCAAATGTGTTTCAAACTATCTGTTAGATGGCTTGACAGCTGTGGATACAGAGTCCCTTTTCAACCAGTTTCATGGCCATTCATACTTTAAATCATATGACTCTAACTGACTGTAAAGTGACAGCAATGACTCATATGACATCAAGTTCTGAACAAACAAACTTTAAATGCCATCAAGTAACACAGCTGTTTGGACTGAAATGTCTTTGAGACTTGAACAACCGGTCCAATTACCTTTGACTTTATTCCTCTACTGTGGATATCCATGTGTGCATCTTCAAACCAATAAACCGTTAAGTAAAACAATATAACTAAAGTCAACAAACCTATCAATATGTGAAAGGATTTAAAAGTTACAGTGATGCTGGACGTGTGAAAAGATTGTTGGCACAATAAGGGTTTGTGTCAACAACTGGATGGGGCTTGAGCTGGCCCATCTAAATAATTCATACAGCGTTTCTTATTGATTTGTAATGAAAAAAGTTTATAGCCACAACAGCAGCCTCGTGAGACTGTGATACTCTTTACACAGCAGAAAACAATATTGCTGCTGCATGTAGGAGGTCAGAATATTGGTAGTAGTACAAGTGTAGCTTTGTGCCAGACCTAGCAGTACTTGAATGTTACTTGTGTGAAGTAACACTTAATGTAAAATGGATAGTGAGCCAATTAAGATTAGATGAACGCACACATAATCCACTCTGTGATGATAAAATATACACAATTTTTAATTAAAAAAACATAAATATTAAAGTGAAAAATGTGCAATACAATGTTGTTTTTCTCTGCTTTCTGCCACTGTTTTCAATATGATGACTTTCCTCCTCTACACCAGCAATAATTGTGGGCCTGGCCCACAGCACATGGAACGAGGCAAGATGTCCCAAATGTTCTTGAACAGCCCAAAGACACTGGGTGATTTATTCACATATAGATTCAGGGCTACTGATCTGACCTTGTTTGTTGTGCTTCACAGATGGAGTATGATGGTCCGCTCTCCGCACAGGACCAGATGTACATCCTTTATGAAATCAAACTGCAGTGCTACCAGAACCTCTCCAACATTGATCCAGGGTCCACAGGTACAAAATGTGCACAGAAAGTTACTTGGGCTTCAGAGATGTTATGTGGATTCATTAAATGTTTGCTACATTATGTGTGTGTACAGAGGATAAATGGAATCAGTTGACTTTTCACCAAGCCCTTATGTGCTGTTGCTATGCCTGCAAGCTTTTCAAGCTAGCATGGCACCTGTGCAGTTTGCAGTGTTTAGCCACAATTTTTAACCTCCCCACTCAATTTATTCTCCGACTCAGCATCCTCTCAGTGCAAACCTTAGGGGGAACATACACATATTTATTTAGCTGTTATGGGAGCAGTTAGAATCTTCAAGGGTATTTTAACCTCTTATGTGTTTACTGTATACCATGGATGCATATATGGGGTTAATTTTGTCCATTAATAATAATTGTTTTAGCTTTTCTGAGTTTAATCATTACGGTAAATACACAAATGTTCGAGGAGCAGGAATTGCATAGCTGCTCTTCCATTGGTCCAATAAACTGTCAATCATATCTCACCAGGAGCAATGGAAAGTGACAGCAGTTCTCTGATGCTATTAGAATTTAATGTTTTCCCCTAATCCCCTTTAGCTCACTAAACAAACAAACAAACAAACAAACAAACAAACAAAACTGTTGATGGCAGCTAATGTGTCTTAAGTATTGCAGCAGACAGACAAACCAATAACGGCTGTGCTTTGAACATTCATTTAAAAACACCTCTTTTCTAATCAGTCAGTTTAGGGACACTTTAAAGTGACAATTTTGGATTGCAGTTTTGTTGAATGGTTTCCAATCCTACATTTATTTGTGTTTTTATAAATGGACAAAATTAACCCTGTATGTGGAAAAAATCGATTTTTAGATGCATCGAGATTCTGTCTGGAACGATGCGAGCATCAGTTTGGAAAACTCATAATCGATTTTATTTTTATATTTATTTTTCAAATTACCATAACTCCTCGACCATTCACACTATCAACGTAATTCCAACGGATTCTGAAAGCTGAGGAGCAGAGCTTTCCAGATATATAGATATAGATATACAGTGATATACGGTAATGACGTCATTATCTGTGGAGGAGGGGAGGGAAGTGGGCACAGCAGGAGGAGAGTGACAGCTGGTGAGGAGAGTGCAAGGTGGAGTGATTTATCAGTATCGGTTTTAGCGGAGTTTTGGTGAGTTTTAGTGGAGTTTGGGAGGCGTTTTCTTTGTAAATAATATTTAGTGTTGTAAATAATAGTATTTGTGGTTTTTTCAGAGCTTTTGAGTTTTTTTATACCTTGTTTTTGAGTGTTTTTTGCCTTGTTTTCGTCGTGTAATCGGAATAGTTGCCCTTGGAATCGGAATTGAATGGAATCGTGAGGTGCCTAGAGACACCCTCAGATCAAAGAGCATGGATACCAAGAGGCGAAGCTCCGTTGAATTTTTGCCAACATACATATATATATATGTATATGGCCTCTTGGACCATTTATATCAGAACAGATTACTGCTTTAGCATTAAAATATATCATATTAAAATAGCCTATATATTATTATTATTATTACTGTCCCCTTACTGTACAGACTGTAAATAAATCTCTATTCCTGACTCTGTGATGTCGCCATTAATGTGTTTCTAGTTAAAATATTGATTTTTTTTTTTTTTTTTGTATTTTGGCTTATGGGGTGATTTTGAAGGAGTAATTAAGTTAATCTTCTCATAAGTGGATGTAATATGTAGAGATGCCATCTAGGCCGTTTTTCTTCGTTTTGTGTTGTTTTTAAAGTCTATATTTTGCTTTACAAAAACGTGAAAAAGCAGCTATGACCAAGCTAACGTTATCATGAGGTGAGTAGCATTGTAAGCAAAATTAATAGCGATATACTTCAGTTTGTCTGTGTGTTTTTGTATGCAAGCGGGTCTGCTGCGGTCTGCTGACAGTCCAAAATGGCGGTGGTAGGACGAAACCATGGGCAAGTCTGTTGCTATGGGGCGTTCTTTTGAGCTTCGCCTCTTGGTATCCATACTCTCTGCCCAGACAGAGCAGCCATGCTCGGGGCAAAACCAACATTTAAATCCAGTATTTTCACAGACAGCAGCACTACAGGCATGGTCCTGCGTTACTGCTGTATACTGTAGGAATATTTGCACTCTGTTAAAATCCGACACTTGAAAGGCCCTCCCTGTTTTGATAGGATCGCTAAGCTATCATTGGACAGTCATTGTTAAGGAGAGGGGTTAGGATAGTCAACTAAATAAGTTTGATATGGCCTGATGTACAATTCTTAATGAAGGACTGTGGCATTAAAGCTGCAATTACTTTCTACAAAAAAAACCTTAAGCTTCCAACAGTTTTTAGTTTAAATGTTTCAAACCTTTATGAAACAGCATAGAATAATCACAGTGGCAGCCAGAAGCTGACCAATAATTACTTTCATATGTAGCCTTTTTGACTAAATTATATTTATGTTTCTGAAAAGATGTTCAGTGATGAATTGTCAATTATGTGACATTACCGAATAGAAAGAGCATTGCTTTCTAAAGAATGTTTTCCACATAAAAGTACAGTGTTTTGTGGAGCAGGGAGGAGATGAATCAGCAGAGGTGCTCATTATTTTTGGGGCGTCCATTTTGTTGTTCTTAAGTGTCTCTTTCTCGCAAGAATGTTTTTTGATTTTGTATACATCCTGCAGAATAAAATCAGTTGACATCCTTTGGATCATTTGAAAAGCTTTTGTTGGCAAAGGGCAAAGGAAGATGTGATGCTAAAAAAGTGTAGAGCCAAGATTCAGTGTATGCATTATGCATTATGCTATGAAGACATTTGACCTTGAGTAGGTTAGCATGTGGGAGTTAGAGTTGGGTGATCTTGTCCATATCCTATCGTCCTATTGCCATCTAGTGAAATTGCTGATGAACGATGTCATCGTCATTCTTGGATCGCCCATTGGCACAACCCTAGTGGGAGTATACTCAAAATACAGGTTTTCAGCAAAAAGAATAAATAAAATAAGATGACCACACACTATTGACCAGATGGCAGTATATGTATATTAATTTCTGCTTATACTCTTCTTGCTGTAGATGAGGTGTGCCCTCCAGACTGGGACGGTCTCATTTGTTGGCCCCATGGCTCCCCTGGGCTGGTTACCAAGGTTCCCTGCCCCACTTACATCTATGACTTTAATCACAAAGGTTAACAGTTTATGTATTTTTTAAAATGTATTCATTTTGCAGATATACAATTACTGATTCTGAGACAAGAGGATAGAAATTCAGGCTGTTTATGCTGTTGATTGGCTGTAATGTAAGTCATTTTCAGGGTGACTTATTTTGAACAGGAGTATCTAAAAAAATAAATCAGAACATATATAATGATGATATGATGGAAATTATCAGGTCACTGGACTTCATACACTGATAGGCCTTTTTCACAGCAGATGTTTTGTTGTAGTAAAAGCACAGGTGCTTCTCACAACATTAAGGATGGCTCTGTTCTATTCATGGATCCCGGTAAGCCATGACAGAGTGACATTGAACCAGCTTGCACAACACCGGGACCTTGAAACCGAAGCAGCTAAATGGAATTGAGCCATTATTAATCTTACTATTTATATCGGTTTTCTTTCTCAGGAGCAGCACGGTCTCACTCGGAAGACGTTGAAATCTGGTGCTTGGGTGTCAGAAACCAACCAAAAAGGCGTCCTTTAAAGGGGCAATAAGCGAAATCGTTTCACCGCTACGTTTCCTGTTGTGCACTGCCTGTAGACCAAAACAAAGTGTGTCATGAGCCACCCTTCCCTCTACCTCTGCTCTCCACCCTCCCACCCCACTCGACTTGTCTGTGCAGCCGCAGCATCTCCACGGACTATTACATCCAGACGGTCCCGGTGTTTCTTCCGCAGGCTCCGCTTCACTCAGCTGCCCGATATACTCGCTGCTTCTTCCTACATTAACCTGAATAACAAACCAGGGCTCGGTGCTCTGGTTGGATCCAAACGGAGAGCAGGGGCTAACAGTAGCGTAGTGGATAGTGCTGGCGCCCCATGTACAGAGGCATTGCCTCGCTGCAGCGGCCGCGGGTTCAAATCCGGCTCGCGGCCTTTTGCTGCATGTCAGTCCCCACTCTCTCCCTGTCTCCCCATTTCACCCTCTGTCCTGTCAATAAAGGCAAAAAGCCAATAAAAATAATCTTAAAAAAAAAGAAGAGAACTTGACATGGTGTCCCAGAACGTCGACAACCGATGCACCCAGTGTACCTTAAACTTCATATGTGGACGTGGAAAGTCCATGACTAAAACGTTAATATGTGTCAAGGTCGGAGTGAGAATGGGTTGTACTCTGACATGTCAAAATGTCTGTGAAAAAGACAAAGGTGTAGTTTGCCCCACTCTAACAGGTGCAACAAAGTTATCAAGGGAATCAGGGTGATATCAAGCAAGCACTGTTTGTACATGCCAATACAGTCCTCAAAAGCAGTCTAACCAGCCAAAATAATTAAATTTACCTGTGTGGGTTTGCTAAGAGTGTGCAGGTCCTTGGATAGTAGAAATTTCACTTTACTAATCCATGAAAACAACCTGCATTAAATGCTTTAATCATGAACAAACCATTTTTCTTGTTTGTGTTTTAAGTGTCCAAAATCATGTTAAAGTATTTGTTTACAGGACATGCTTACAGGAAGTGTGATGTCAACGGTTCCTGGGTGTATGTGGACCGCTGGAACAAAACATGGCACAACTACTCAGAGTGTCTGCGCTTCCTCCAGCCCACTGATGAGGAAGGGAGAGTAAGTATGACTGTCAAATATTGACTGTCAAACTTGCTAAATCAATCTCATTTACATACATACATGGATAAATTCACAGATTGTTAGCATATGTATCAGTCAAAGCTTTTAATCTCACAGCCTCTTGAGCAAGCTCATGTGGAGACTGGCTGTGAACAATCTGACAAGAACAAATGTTCTTTAATAACTGGAATTTAATGCTGGGCATCCATGTGTGCTTTATATCATGAAAAGCCACATTGTGCAAATTTGGTTGGTGGTGCAGAAGTTCAGATTCACAGCTTTCCACATGACTGATCAACAGATGAACAGCTCTTACCATCCTCTGAAACAGAAGCTAGTACCTTCTTTTGTGTATTACCTCTTAATACAAAACAATGTCAACTTTTGACTCCTCATCACAGGCTGCATGTCTATGACTTGTTTGAGTTAATTTGAAGAGTGACCATCTCTTTTCAGGCTGTTTTATTCTTTTTCAAATTATTCTAGGCCAAATGAGTTCAAACTCAGCAGTAATAAGTAGAAAAAAGCACCATTAGAGAAAAGTCTGAAAAGTTGTCAGGACTTGGTGTAGGAGGATTGTGGTTTTCTTAGAGCATTTCCTCTGTAATTCTCTCTCAATACCTAAAACCTATCTTGCATTCTCCAACTGGCAATCACTGTGCTGAGGAAGTGTCGTCTTTTTCCTCTAATGTAGTACTGAGCAGGTAGTTGATAAATACACAGACACACACACACAAACACACAAAAAAGGTTCTCGAAATAGGAGCATTAATCATATAGCAGGAATTCTTTTTGAGAAACCGACTGAGTGAAAGCTCTGCTCTAACCACTGGCCTGAGGAGTGGAGGGAAAATAAGTGTTCACATACAGAATCCGCCTGTCAAGAAGAGTAAACACTTATTAATGCTAGTTGACCATGGTGTCAAGTTTATCTTTATGCTGTTGAGACTTTTTTTATGGGTCATGTCCCCATATATATGGAATATGTAGCTGGGTGGAGAGATAGTCTCAATATGACAGAGAACTACTTTTGTCTAAGATGATTCAACTTCACCCTTTTTATACGACCCTTTGATCTAAGCAACCCTATTGCCTGGGAGACTATCAGTCATCTGCTCTGTGAAAATGAGAAGATAGGTTATTACCAGGGAGGGGGCTGCTTTTGTTTACGATATCAACTAAACCTTGAGGGCCCTTTGAGTCTTGCCAGCACTTAAGAAGATTATATCTTAGATTCAGGAAAACAAGTGCTTTGTTAAAACTCCTGACCATGTCTCCAATTTGTATGCATACAAATACTAAGGATTTAAGACTGCCACATACATGCGAAGACTTGATAAATCTACCTTTTCTTCAGTTTTAATTAACTTCAGACTGACATGGCAAGAGCTCTGTGAATGAGTTACTGATTCATTCTTTAATGCAGAGGTATCAAGACTTTTTCAGCTCATGGCCATCCATCCATCCATTTTTAACCACTTATCCAAAGCTGGGTCGTAGTGGCAGCAGGCTGAGCAAAGTGCTCCAGATGCCCCTCTCTCAAGCAACGCTTTTCAGCTCCTCCTGAGGGATCCCAAGGCGTTGCCAGGTCAGATGAGATATGTAATCCCTCCAGAGTGTTCTGGCTCTGCCCTGGGGCCTCCTACCAGTGGGACATGTCTAGAGCACCTCCAGCAGGATCAGCAGGATGTGCCCAGGAGGCATCTTGATCAGATGCCTGAACCACCTCAACTGACCACTTTGGATGCGAAGGAGCTGTGGCTCTGCTCCGAGCTCCCTCCGGATGTCCGAGCTCTTTAACCTATCTCTAAGGCTGAGCTCAGCCACCTTCTGGAGGAAACTCATTTCGGCCGCTTGTATCCACAACCTCATTCTTTCTATCATTACCCATAGCTCATAACCATAGGTGAGGTTTGGGATGTAGATGGACCAGTAAATCAAAAGCTTTGCCTTCCAGTTCAGCTCTGTGTTCACCGCAACGGTCCGGCACAGCGCCTTCATCACTGCAGAAAAACGCTGATCTATCTCACACTCCATTCTAACCCTACTCATGAACAAGATCCTGAGATACTTAAACTCCCTTGCTTGGGGCAGTAACTCAGTCCCAACCTGGAGGGGGAAATCCACAGACTTTGAGGTGCTGACCCTTATCTTGACCATTTCACACTTGGCTTCAAACCGCCCCAGTGCATGCTGGAGGTCACAGTGCAATGAAGCCAACAGAACCACATCATCTGCAAAAAGCAAAGATGGGACTTTGAGGTCTCTCTTGAGCTCTTGACCCAAAAGAAAAAATTTGTGTCTCCCCGGGACAAAATTACATTATGAATTGCCATAACATCCACATTTAAACCTACATTATCTACATCTACATGTTTGATGGCACATATACAGGGTACATAGCAGTATTAGCATCTTGTTCAACTTTAGTAATAATAACTTCATTTATATAGCACTTTTCTTTTCAAAAACAAGTTACAAATTGTTTTACAAGGGGATAAAAACAAGAGGAATCACCAGATATATCATTCAAGTAGAATTGATACACTAATAATGACAAGTGAGGTATGAATGAATTACTAGAACACTGTAAAAACAAGTAAAAGTAAAATGGAAGAAAAACAGATTCAAGAGCAAGCAATCTAAACTGGCAGGTCGTTCCTGAGTTGAGGTGCCTGACTCCAAAGGCTTGGTCTCCTCTGGTTCTTATAGACCTGACTTAAGCCTCTTAAAAACTCTGAGATTTTAGCAGTCTTACAAGTTTAGTGCAAGCTTTACTGCCCGACATGGATCTAATTAACTTGGGTACAACATCAAGATTGATGTATGCAAACTGTACGAAGACAGTGCCTACTGAACAACGTACAATGCAATAGTTTCCCATACTAAGCACACAAGGATGCTGCATGGGTTATTACTTATCCAACTGTGAAGCCTAACACAGAGAGTCACATTATTAAATAGCTTAAGAGTTTTGTTGGCACTATATACTGTGTCTTTGTGTGTGTTTGCTAGCAGCTAGGTTGCTCACCTGGCAGCTGCAACTCTGCTGCTGTTTCCTTTCATGCTTTGTCCTTCTTTACGTGATCATGTTAAGAGCTAGAGGACACATCATATAGGCAAGGCTTCTGCTGCCACAGCTGTGTGGAGTTTGCATGTTCTCCCTGTGTCAGTGTGGGTTTTCTCCTGGTACTCCAGCTTCCTCCCACAACCCAAAGACCTACGGGTTAGGTTAATTGGTGACTCTAAATTGCCCATAGGTGTGAATGTGAGTGTGAATGGTTGTCTGTCTCTGTGTGTCAGACCCTTAATAGGATAAGCGGTTACGGAAAATGAATGAATGAATTCTATAACGTACAGGTAACGAGATGCTAAAATAGATGTTATGTGGACTCTTCTGTTGGATTTTGTGAGTGCTGCAGCATTTTGAACTAGTTGAGGTTTGGAGATGTTACATCAGGTGAGACAGGAATACAGCTTTAGAATTCTGTGCACCTGTTATTCCTTCACTTTCTCCTGTCAAAGTATACAAAATAATTAGACCCCTGGGCCCGTATTCACAAAGATTCTCAGAGTCCTCTCAGGGAGCTCCTAACTTAGCCTAAAAATTCCTAGCAAGGAATCTTAGCTTAAGAGTGATTTAGGAAGTTTCTGAGAGCAATTCTGAGCAAGGAGGGGACAGAAACTTTTATCTTAGTGAGGAGGTGTGGTTGACCCCGTTGCTAGGTATGACGCAGTTTTCTAAAAGCTGTGATTGGTTGTTACAAAAAGGAAAAAAAGAAAAAAACAAAACAAATGTGCTTTTAGTAATGAATGAACAGTGAAATCAACCGATCATAGAACTTAGACTGTATTAAGAAATGTGTAATCGTGAAAATAATTTTATGTCATGATGATGAAACTCAGCAAAATTAAATTAATTGTTACACAGCTTCAAAATGTTTGAACGTACCTCATTCACATGCCGATTATTATATTGATTTGCTTATTGTTATGTTTACTCACCATGCTGGTAATTTTACTACTTAATCTATTTGATATTAATGGTGGACGCAGACTCAGCTGTCAGCAATTACTGTGATTGCTGGCCTCCTTGTAAAAAGCGGTTTGATTTGGCAGAATGACCAAAACAACGAACGAAATGGAGAAAAAAAGAATGAGAAAGCCGAACTGGACAGAAGAGCAGTGCCTGCTGTTGGCACAGCTTGTGGAGGAGAACAAAGGAGTTTTAAGAGGGAAATTTGTTCCCGGGATCACGGCACAAGGGAAGAGGCAGACTTGGGAGCGCATTTCCCGACAAATCAATGTGTCGTTCCCGCTCCTTTTACACACAAGCGATAAGTGTGGGAAGCGCTGGTACGTGCTGCAATCCAAAGGGGGCGTTACTGCGTTACTATGCTGGGTGGGAAAAGTAAGCTCATCCCTGATGAGGTCAACCACAAACATTATCCCTGCATGATCAAGCTGTTAGCGTCTTATTAAATCACTGTCGTTCAATAGGCCTATACGGAGAATATCTCTCCTTCCTCTCTGTCTTTCTGCCATCTTCTCTGTTTAAGACACTCTTAGGCTTCTTAAAAGTCCTTCTCCCTCCTCTTAACAGTTTTTCACCTTAGGAGCTCTCTTAAGGCCCAAGATGCTTTGTGAATAACTTTTATCTTACCAAGGGAAAATTCTAAGAAAAATCTTTATCATCTTAAAATGATGTCACTAAGAGCTACTTTTAGTCTTAGGATTCTTAGTGAATACGGGCCCTGGTATTCACTGCATGTATCCTCCTGAGCCATGAGTCATATGTGTTTTTTTCGGCAACTCTATTTTACCTTCAAGAGTGGACTGAAAATCAAATATGTCTCTCTGTGTTCACAGCAAGACTTCTTTGAGCGGCTGTATGTCATGTACACCATTGGCTATGCCGTGTCTTTCAGCTCTCTGCTCGTGGCCATCTTCATCATTGGATACTTCAGGTAAGAGAGTATTTTCTAATGTTTAAATTATGTGCTGCCTTTGTGACAAGCATGCACATCGGTGGATTAACTGCAGGAGGTGGATCTCTACTGTGTCCACATCTTTACATTCTACCTTGTATCCTGAAAAGTCTCAGGTGTGGGAACTATAAAACAACAAGGTTTAATGCCTAACAACCACATACTTTTCAGGTTGTCCAGTTAGTTTTGGAAAGTCTCTCGCCCCCTGAGGATTGTAACTGCACAATTTTTCTCTGTTTTCTCTGTTATTGTCCTCACTGTCCTGCTGTGTCCCAACTGCACACTACATTTCTAACCATGTTTTGTGTTTCATACTGTGTTCACAATGACAAAAGTGAGGATACTTCAATATACTTGCCAGAATGCAAATAATGTTGGTGCAACATGCATGTTTGTTTCATAAGTCTTTCATTTCAGACAGAGGAAATATACAATTACACATACAACAACCACGCCCTCCAACCAAAAGACATCAGCAGCTGGTAGAACAGTTAGATGTCTAATAAGAAATTAAAGACAAAATCTCTCTTTATATACATATTAACATATACACTTCTGCAGAAATCTGATAGACAAAAATCATTAAAGGAATACTTTGTTATTTTTCAACCAGCTTTGTAAATAAACTGTTGTAAACTTGCATGGAGATCTCCCAGCAAAACATCTGGTGTCTTGCTGGCGCTTGGGCTGTTGCTTATACTCGGAGGTCGGAAGTCGGAAGTAGGAATGACATCACCTCCGAGTTGACAACAGTTTTTGCATTCTAGTTGACAATGGTGGACAAGTCAGAAAAAAACATGGACGCCCACAAGAAAGTCTTTGTTGCCCTTGCACTTTCGGAGTATAGACAGCTTCAAAACCATCATGCACTCCAACTGATGAATGCCGCAGATGAGGCTGACCTGATGTAAAACAAATAAGATAAAATTGCCATAAACAGTACTCTAGCAGAGTGTTTACTCACTATGTATGTGACCGGCAACCATCTTGAATTCGTAAGTCGGGGTTGATGTGGTTGCTCCGAGTCTGAAATCCGATCTCAGGGTGCGTTCGAGTTTAAACTTCCTACTGGGAACTGGGAATTTCTGACCTCTGAGTACAAAACGAGCGCACCATCAAACTACAGGCTGTACTTACACAGTTTTGTATTGCCCACCACCCATACCGCCATCACAGTCACAAAGAGTAAAGAAGTGGATCAAAAGACAGAGCCCATCCACCCTTAAACTCTGACCAAACTCTGATCAAACAGTGGTAAAACAAGGTAGCGCTGATTGAGTATAAACCAATATAATGTACTGTAACAATGTAATGTACTGTATTGCCTGTTTCTTGCCTAACATGTTTTTAGAAAAATGTTGTAGTGCCCTTTTACCTGTAATAACAAAGGTTTGGGAACAAGAAGTGAGTGCCATACTGTTTCCTGCATAGTGAAAATGGAAAAAAAATACTTTGTTGCCTATTTCTCTCCTCAGAAGTTACCTGTAGAATGACTTTGTTTGTTACCAGCTGGCAAACACTGTGTAGAACGTTTGTTTATGTCACCCACCAGTGGGAGCATTTATTGGTCTGGTGCAGCACACTGCATTCTGGCAGTTGTATAGGTTTTCTACCAGTTTAGCAGAATTGGATGCCACAGTCCTTTTTCTCTGTTTTCTTTGGTCATGTAACACCATTTTCAAAAGTATTTTTATCCTTCTACTGTATAGACAGCCTAACTTTATGAAAAGACCATCTTTCCAGTGATGACATACTTTTTATATGTACTGACAACAGCGACACCATTCAGTGCACCAGTGGGGAGCCTCTTCAGCCTCAACAGTCCTGTGCTGACTCTGAGGAGGAACAGGTTGTTTTAAAAAGCAATTTTAGGGTCTCCTCCTCATGGGGTAGAACTGCTGCTTTAGTGAAAAATCTGTTAAATATGTCGTATTAGGCTGATATAGGGACATGTTAAATGTTGTTTAAACATGTTTTTTTTTCTCTGTCTCATATTATTTAAACAAGGACCGTTGATATATCATTTTAGGCAATTAATATTTGTACCATGCATTGTTAGGAAGGCCAACCTCTTTTATGTAGCCTATTGATGTAATTTTATTGTGAGGCAGTTATAGTGTACTGCGGTGCTGTTTAAATTCTGAGCTTTGTTTTTTTGCTAACATGTGGGCATATGCAAGGTTTAACATTATATTATTGTGACAGTGCCTCTCTGGTGGTGTTGTGAAGTAACACAAAAGTAATGTAACAAGTAGGGTAATAGATTACTTTCTACAGGGGGCAATTAAGTAAAGTAATACATAAATCTTTCTAAAAGTAACGAGTAATGTGTAATACATTACTTTTTTGAGTGACAATGCTAGCACTGCCCACATGGCATTGAATTTATTCGTTGACTCCCAGACAGTATGTCTTATCTTCTCAAGTTTGATGTGGTTAAGAACTTGGACTATCCAAATGTTGTGAGAAGGTGGTACAGAAGATATCCTTCTCAGCAGGATTAAGTGTCTGGCCAGCAGAGTGGCAATCAGAGCTGCTTCTAATGCCCTCTATACACTGAGCATTTTTAGCAATCTTATAAGACTATTGCATGACACACTGTGTGACGTGGATCTAATAAACTTTGGTACGACATCAAGTTTGATGTGTGCAGATTGTACGATGGCCATTTACTACTGAACCACAGGTTACGACGTACGTCAATATGCAACGTCATCAGCGTAATTTAATTTAAATTTATTTAACTTTTGTGGGCACAATTGCGGTGTGTGTGTGTGTGTGTGTGTGTGTGTGTGTGTGTGTGTGTGTATTGTGTTTGCTAGCTGCCAGCTTGCTCACCTGGAAGTTGTGGTTCCTCCGCAATTTCCTTCCATGCAGCGTCTTTTTTCTTGCGGTCATGATTGCAGCTGGAGGAAACATCAAATAAACAAGGCTTCTGCTGCCACAGCTCCACCAAACTTTCCTCTTTCTGGGAGTTCCACAGACTTCTTTTTGTTTGTTTTACCTCCATGGCAAGCGATCATTTGTATGGGTTTAGCACCGGTGTCGCGGTGACCATTGCGTCATTTCCTGCTGCATTTCTATTGGTTGATTAGTTGACGTAGACCGTAGCAGCTGTCACGCTGTGAGATAGTCATCCTAAATTTCTGACAAATGGCTGTCCTTGAACCTGTCTCACAGTGCGACGTAAGACCACCGTTTTAGAGCCACGACCAAAGATATCGCCACGTTTCTCCCACGATGGTCATTTTTCGTCTGGGAAAGCCCAGAATCGCACAGTGCATACCGACCATAAGGCAGAGTGACTGTAGAGGGGACCCCACCTCAAGTAGTGCAATCATAGCCTAAAGCTTTATCAGCTCCCCAGCTGTTCTGGCAATGTCTCAAAAAGCTCAGACCAGAAGCTCAGGACCATAACATATGCACATGTGTAGTTGGAGCTAGACTTTTGCATTGTATGTATGAGGCCATGGCACAGATAGTTGTATGCACTTTGGTAAAGCTGGGGTAGGCAGGTTAATTTTAGTGTCATTGGTAGTGCTGCACAATTAATCTAATCGCAATCGCAATCGCGATGTCAGGCTGTGCGATTACATAACCGCATAAAAAGCTGCCATTTGCGATTTAATGTAAATAAATGTTAACATGTGAACGTGACTGCCTCTCCTGTTGTGTGTGGAGTTTGTTGACATCACGCCCACAAGCTATCCTGGTGCGTGCAGCCGGCGTGCAGCAGTGACCAACACAGACGCTTAAGAAGAGCATGAGCTCGACCAAGAACAGCCTGAGTTGGTGGCAAAAAAACGCAACGTATATTATTACATGGCGATACTTTGGATTCAGGTACGGTGACGTTGAACAGAAAGACGTGCTGTGTAAAAGTTTAAAAGTTAAAGTCGCCACGTCCCGCGGCAACACGACCAATCTATATCAGCACTTGAGACGGGATGTGGCGACTTTAACTTTTAAAATTTTACACAGCACATCTTTCTGTCCAAAGTCGCGGTACCTGAAAGATGTGCTGTGTAAAAGTTTAAAAGTTAAAGTCGCCACGTCCCGCGGCAACATTACCAATCTATATCAACACTTGAGACATCACAGCACAGGGAAAAGTAGGAAGAGTGCATGCGAGAGAAAGCCGAGCCTTGTAATGCTAAAGACAAAGAGACAACTGAAAGCCGCCAGAGCCTCATAAAACAACATCCAAGCACAGTTAAGCAAATATTTGTAAGTGTCACAGGGAAATCATGGACTCCATAACAAATGAAAAACTGAGCAATTTTGCTCAGTTTCGGCCCACTTGACATGCTGCTGTGTTGTGCTATGGCGCTGGAATTTGTCATTTACGTGACAACGCCTGAACGCAACACAGGCTCGCTCCGCTGTATGTACAGTTCAGGTACAGTTTGACTGTGCTCAGTCTGTTGATGGTCATCGACACACTGTCTGTCCATAACAATAACTATGTCAGGTCAGTGCCCCCCTAATATAATGTAGGGGAAACACTGAATCAAGCAAAAAGACTCATGATACCATTTATTTATTATATTTTATTGTAATTATATTGTAATCGCAATCGCAAATCGCGATATTGTCCCCCATAATCGCAATTGCACATTTTTATCAAATCGTGCAGCACTAGTCACTGAGCAAAAATTGCATAATAAACTTTTAAATATTGTAATTCAAGTGGTGAAACTTTCATCCATCTATGTCTCAACCCTCACCTATGATTATGAGCTTTGGGTAGTGACTGAAAGAATGAGACTGTGGATACAAGTGGTGGAAATGAGTTTCCTCCATTGGGTGGCTGAGCTCAGCCTTAGAGAGGGTGAGAAGCACAGTTATCCAGGGGGAGCTCAGATTACAGCCACGGCTCTTTCATGTCGGTTGAGGGAGTTTAGGCATCTGATCGGGATGCCTCCTGGGTGCCTCCCATTAGAGGTGTTCTTGGCATGTCCCACTGGTTGGAGGCCTCA